AAACCTGCACCGATTGAAACAGTGGAATGTGTGGTCTGAACGTGAGCAGAAAATAGATGCATCCTCTGCGGTGTGACATTTGGCTAGTGCCTCACTGTCCCACTTCTAAAAGGAACCCAAAGGACTGCTTTTAGCTGTGGCTCTAGAGAGAGATAGGGGGTTAAAGACAGATAAGGAGAGTGGGATTACAAGGATTTGCCACCTTTTATTCTTGTTATTCAAATTGTTTTTTGTCAGTAACATTGTGTGGGCCATGGAGCAAGATGAGGCAAAGAAAAGAAGAAGAAAAAAAAAAGGCCTGAGTATCATCACTTGAGCCATAGGGGGAATATGTGCAATACTGGTTTATTGGTACAGGACTTGGATCTGCAGCTGAACCTGGGAGCTGACTGTGTTTACAAATGAAAGGACAATATGCACATGTCTTCTGCTCTGCTGCAGTGCTCGACAAGGTGAGGCATGGATCTTATGGCTCAGTAGCAGGGCATCGTACCGAGGCAGCTCTCTCTGGTCAACTGAGGACAACTGAATGTATTTTAACAAGCAGGACTGAAAAACAATCCACTCCAGGGTGGAAGTGTTAATGGGAAACGCAAAGACGGCCATCATCATCATCTCCATCCTCATCGTTCTCATCATCATTAACTCCATCCCTCCCTCATTGTATTTGACATAATGTGCTGATGCTGATCTCCAGTGCTCAGCTGGGACCTGCCCCAGGGAGGAACACTGTTTAGACAGACACTCCCCCATGAGAAGGAGGAATGTGCGTCACCTTGGGCCTGCTTCTGCCTCTTTCCAGCACCTCCCAGCTCCTTCTCTTTCCCTCCCTCACGTTGCATCTCATCCCCATTTTTAATATCAATCTCAATGGACTCCATTAGTGCAGCACTTCTTTGAGAATGTTAATTTGTTTTGTCAAAAGCTTTGTTTATCCCAGATTAATATCTCAATAAACAGAGGAGTGCTCTGCTGTGGTAAATGATAGTGATTATACAGTAGGTCTGCAGCTCATGCTGTAGAAGGAGGCGCACACAATGGGAGTTTCTCACCATTCAGATCCCTCCAAACCCCTGATTACAATAATAACACCGTGGGTACTAATTTACTGCAGTGAACTCGCCCTCTGTTTCTGTTCTGCTCTCCTTTTCCTGTCTGCAAATGTTGAACGCAATTCCCATTCCATGCCGTGGCTAGTCTGACAGTGATAAGATTGGGAGTTGTTTAAAAGGTGGGATGCCCAACCTTTGACATAGTGCTGTTTCACCCCTGCAGCTTAGTGTCAGTGGAGAGTGAGCTGCTGCATTGTTCAGTCTATCATTAGACAGCAGAGGTCCCAGCAGGCCTACAGTCCGCTTACTCGGACTTGACCCTTTCACATACAGACTTTTTTCTTTTCCAGTGATTTCAGTGACGCATATCACAACAGGAGGGAAGTCAAGAGAGGGGGGGGCGCAGGATGCTGGTGTGTGAGTTCAACAGCAGCTGAGGTGCAGAGGGTCTGTAAGTCTGCAAAGGGTGTCCCAGGAGGGGACAGAGCAGGGACAACATGAGCCCAGATGTCACTAAGTCACAGCTATAGGCGGTAAGAGAGAGAGAGAGAGAGAGAGAGGATGGCTGGTGATGAGGGCGCTTGCAGAGACAGAGGATATGCAGGGCTGGATCTGGAGATAAGGAGATGGATGGGCTTTGTGTTGGTGGTTTGCAGTCCAGAGGTTATCACTTTATTGTTGCTGTTGATCAAGCCGGCGTGTCAGATCTCTCAACTTACCCACATGAAGAGGGTGAGAGATGATTTGACTGCTGATTGGACTAATGGATGCTTCCTTAAAAAAAAAGTTTTCAAAAAATCCACTGCCGCTTCAGCCGACTAAAAGGACATTTTTAAGGACAGGATTTCCCTGCATAGATTTTTTTAAACAATAATAAAGTATTACTATTTTGTTATTGATCTATTGTGTCCACATGACTGCTATACAGTACCTATAGAGTAGTTTTAATAATCCATAAGGGTTCGGCATAAACCCAGGATAGTGCTGCTGATCTCTTATGCTATCTGTCTGTGGAGCCTTACCTGAAATCCAGGCGAGCGGCCATCTTTGAAGCACAGGGTGGGGCCAGAAACAGAGAGGCTTCTGGATAGGATGGGGTTCTCCAAATGCTAATCATTTGAGCCCTGTTCTTTACAGAGACCCAAAAGGTCCAAAACGAAAACAGGTCAGGCAGTTTTAGACGTTGAAGGGGAGAAATACAAATCTGCTGTTTGCTTGTTAACATCGCTCTACATGACGCAGAAGCAGGCTGAATCTGTTGGCATGATTTTTTTTAAATGTTCCTCTTTTTCTTTCTCGCTTGTCATGCTGTCTCTGAGAGCGAGGAAGGAGCTGACTTGTGCCTGCATGTGTCTGTCCATGGCTGTAGTGATGTTCTATGTGACCAGCCAGGAAATGCTGACAGTCTGTGATTAAAGGGAACATAGCTGGCTGTAGCTGGTGTGACTGGGATATTTTAAATAAATATTAAAACTTGGTACTGTAGAACCTGGTCAGTATTGGAAATCCCTGAAATGCTATATGGGAATAAATAATTGTGTATTGGTGATTTATAAAGCAGGATGTAGGCATTGCGATAAGTACTGACATTGTGCCATGTGGGGTTCTACATGTAACAACCATTTCCAGAGCTTTCTGTGATTTTTCTATGAAATGGATCATTTATTATGTACCACTGCGACATTTGTAAACTGAGGTTCATATAACACCTTGATTCTGTTTTTCTTTGAGGGATGATGTTCATATGTTTTTTTATTTCTTATTTGTTTGCTTACACTCATTGCTTTGACAGCTGTCAGGGCAAAAGGGGGGGAGGATTTTATTTGAGTGTTTGCGTCATCGCATTGTCAGAGCGACCTTGTATCAGCACATATTAATAAAAAAAAAACATTGAAAATGTACGCTGTTAATGCTTCAGGGTTTCTCTGGGAATGTTTTGAAGGGGGCTTAGATGTGATGTGTATGCAATGTGTTGCATTTGCCAGTTTTTCTAAACAGCACACAGAAATTATTGATAATCTTTGGCTTTGCTCTTTGCATAATCATCTTCAGTAAATCTACCTCGTGACTCAAACTGGTAATGAAAAGACATCTTTAAGTACTAATACAGTGGTTATGTTTTATTCATGGGCTGTCCTGGAGGTTACGGCTGCACTGTGCTGCTCATCTGTGTAGCATGGAAAGCAAGGGACTGAAGCCAAGCAACCCAGCCTCATCCTGAGTCAGCTCCCCCTTGAACCACACACTGTATGCATATGCAGATTGGACCTGTGGGTTGGGATGATGATTCTGTCAAACACTGGTCTGTGTCCAAAGCATACTACACAAAGTGATCAGAGAGATGCAGAAAAAAGCTAGCGGTCCGTTTGGGAGACAAAACCCAGAATCTAAACTCTCTGAGTGTTTGGACAGGGACTAGTGAGAGCTTTACAGGATGGGGAAGAGGAGGACTGGTCCCATGCTAATCTGGGAGAAAGGAAAGCTTTGTTTTCACTACAGTGACCCAAAGTCAGTATTACCAAGACCAACTTAAACATTTCCTTCAACCATCTCTTATGTATCTCCATGTACATGCAGACATGTGAGTGCTCTGGCTCAGCTGGATTTAGCTTTACAAAGCATCAGTCAAGGTTAATTAATCATACAGTGGGGTGTGATCCCCGATGTAATCGCTTTAAAACTGCCATGTGAATACAGCTTACTGACTTTTCAATGCAGCACTGTTTGCTTGCAGCTGCCTGTTAAGCCTGAACATCACGCAGCAGCAGGCGACCTTTAGTACACTCTGGAGTTACCGTAAACATTGTGATACACTGGAGATCAGTTAAGGGTAACACACGAGTGCAGCCCAGCTAGCTTCCTTTTAAGCCATCTTATCCCTGATGTGGTGTGATCAGTGTTCATCTCCTGCTGAGTTTTGTCTCCTTGGCTGCTCATAATCCCGTTCACAGCCAAGTGTTATTGGTTACTAATTAGCCAATAGCTAGTTATTATGTGCATCAGAGCATAGAGGATTCCTCCGTAATTACAGCTTCTCTCATGTACCTGTTTTTTTTTTTCCATGTCATGCAGTACACTGTGTATGTATTATCACATGTGACGCACTCACCCCCTACCCATCCACCCATCTGCCCATGCAGTCCCCACCTCGCTCATGTCCCCTCACTGAAACTCCCTGTGTGGGGAAGCTCTGAGGCCTTGACCATTCAATCACCCTCTTTTCACTGCTGGTTCAGTAACACTTTCACACACTGACATACCAACATGAGCAACAAGGCCTCTGACCCCTGATACACTCTCTTCCTGGCACTCGGTCCATCAGAGTGGTAAACCGAGGGGGGTTTTCTCAAGGTCATTGCACATTGAAGGAAGCAAAAATAGAATCACAGCAACTCTCAGCAGATCCCAAGAGGTGCATGAAATCCTGTCAAAATCACTGTGTTTTTGTGTAACTGTAATTACATACATACACTCGGGGGACCTAAATCTTTTAAGTAATGTATCATAGATATGCTGCTCTGAAATTACCAGCAGATGTGCCTTTGATTAGTTGATTAACAAATCAGAGCAATGTATTAGCGGGATCAACGCAGCCACAGACACTGATTACATGAAAGAACAACACAAAAGTCCATCAACATTATGGAGGCTGTAATTTATAAAAAAATGAATCATTGCATTTTACCACAGTGGTTTATAATATGAATAGAATATGTTAATAAAACACATGTATTTTAAATGTGTACATTACAGTAACATTTGATTTGAAGCTATTGCAATCAGGACTAAATACGCATTAATAAGGTTTGCATCACTCAACTAGTAGAATGGGGGTATTATGTTTCCCTTTAGAGGATGTGAGACTCGTGTGTATATACTGCCCCCTGGTGGATTTCCTATAAAGTGATGCCTTCACAAAGTAAGGTAAAAAAAGAAAAATCCAGGGAGTAAAATCTAGGGTGGAATGAACAATTTATTTCCAACTCCATGTAAATATAACAATAGTTCCTTACAAACATACAGAAAATGTTATGATCATCAAATTTGCCAATCTAAAAGTAAATGCAATACAACAACAAAAGAAAACACATGGTCAAAATATGATTTAAGATATAATATAAGATATAATGTAGGTTACAAAACGAGAGAATGAATCAGGAGATAGGAATAAACATGATGCTAGATTAAGCAGGAAATAATAGGGTAAAGGCACGCTTACTAAAATAATGAGGATCATATAAAGGTACATGTTTAAAACTCCAATAAAACAAAAATGCATTACATTTTGTGATCCATTTAAATGCATATATTGATAAATGGACATGCGCTTGTCTAGCGCTTTTTACACAGCAGCTTACACAGAGAAGGCAGAGGCTGCTTTGTAAAGTTTACTAATCCATTCAATCTGATAGACATGCCACTGACGCAGCAGCGGGAGCACTTTGAGGGATAAGTGTCTTGCCCAAGGACACATCGACATGTGGCCGTAGAAGCTGGGGGTCAAACCCCCAACCTACCACTGAGCCACAGCCGCCCCTGTCATACTACCTGTATTATATATATAACAGGTATTATATAATATGGAACATTTGATTTTCTAACCAAACATTCCTTATACTGTACATTATATAGTAATATTAAGCCTCACAGTTGTGTATGTGGTGTCTTTACTGACTGGTTCACTTTGGTAGAGCTGTGCCCTTCATAATCTCAATGACAAACATCCCATGCACTTGTTTGTTTGTTTGTTTGTTTTGTCCAGGTAATGAAAAAGTTTGGCCAAATATAATAAATCATATTCACTGTGATGACCACAGTCAACAGACAGCCTGTGTGACTGCTCATGTATCAGTGAATATTCTGGACACAATACAAAGACACCACAGGGTGTCATAATGAATAAAATATGTTGTAATCATAAAGTCATGATTAAAGGGTCTTTAAAAATGTAACTTTGTAAGGACAGCTTGTGGTCAACATAGTTATTGTTACATATCCCAAAGGACTGTCAGTAAAATAACCACATACCCTGACTGTGAGAACACTTTATGTATACTGAAGGTGTTCATTATTATTATTATTATAAATCAGTACTTATGAACTCCAAATTTCTTCATGTTGGATGCTGACTTCACGTCATCATCCTGGTCGGGGTCGGGGCAGCTCTTGTCCACCAGAGCTGCAGCTTCACCTGTCATGTCAGAGCGTGCGATGGAATCTCTGGAGACAGACACAGCACAGCATAAAGACATGAACGTCTGCACAGAAACAGCCGAGATTGTTTACTGTATGTTCACTTTCTGAAAAGAACTCAGATAACTTCTGAAACTCAGACTTTTCATCCCTTCAAATATTTTGAATATAAAATATTTGGAGGGCAGAGCAGTTCACAAAGTTATTCCTGGCAGCTGTCCCATCATCAGCAAAATATTACAAGGTGTAAAGAAGACTGCAAAGTGGAAAGGGATGCCATGAGAGCAGAGTGGCAGAGAAGGAAGGCAGTCTCACCCCTGACTTGGTATCAGTGGCTTTCTCTCATTCTCATCTTCTTTAGGACCACGCTCAACGAGAGGCCGTCCATTCTGCATGTCCCTGTTCCTGCAGAAGAAGAATTCACAGCCATTAGTATCCAGCAGGGGGGCTTTGAAAATCCAGGGTTCCATGACAATGAAGTGGACTACCACAGCTGAAATTACATACTGTAGCTATTGTAGAAACTGTCCTGTTTGTTTCTATTTGCTGCTCTTTTAAAGTATATATTATTTCAGTATATATACATTTTCTGTCAGTGGTGCAGTGGTTAGCAATGTTGCCTCACATCCAGAAGGTTCATGGTTCAAATCCCTGTCAGACAGGTTCATTCTGAGTAGTTAACATGTTCTCCTCCCAAAGTCTAAAGACATGCTCGTTAGATTAACTGATGACTCTAAATGTCCATAGGTGTGAACGTGAGTTTGGCTGGATGTCTGTCTCTATATGTCGGCCCTGTTATTGACCGGCAAACAGTCCAGGGTGTCCTCTCGCCCAATGACAGCTTGGATTGGCTGCACCCACCCGTGTCCCCAAGCAGGAGAAGCGGTATATAGATAATGAATGGCTGGAAATTGGGGACGCTTTATTTAATCTCACCTGCTCACCAATATTTTTTGTTCCTTCTTCCTGACTTTCATCGAGTTTTATGGATTTTTTCCGACTTCATTTATATTTTATTCCCAGTTTGCAATTATCCTGAACAATAGCCAATCATAACCTGTGGGTTGTTTTAAACTAATGAAGGAAGAAAAAAAATGATCACCTGAAGAAGACGTCTGGTCGAAACATGGTGATTGTGATAGAATCAAAACTTTTTGTTGCATTTAAACAAGTGTGCTTCCTCAGTCGGCTGTTTCTGCACTGCCTTGCACCTACGTGATGTGCGTATAACTACCTCCTTTTTCATGTTTTAAACTAATAACACGATTTCACACTGGGGTACTTATGATAACTTATTATAAATACATATGGATTCTATTTTTTTCATCTTCATAGGACCTGTTATTACATATGTCTAAAAGGACCATACATCAAAAAAGTAAGTTGTTCTAGAGTTGACCGTCTAAAGAAAGCTGGTTGTCCAACTTCAGCTCTGTGATGTTGTATGTTACAGTGTCCACACCGTGTTTCTAGTTATTCTGTTATTGTCCTGTGTCCTTTCTTTGTACGTATCTGGAAAAGGGTTGAGGGGCTAGACTGTTGATCTTTAAGAAAACATAAAATCTCTCAAGACTAATTAAGTCATGTCTTTTGAGTATGTGGCAAAAACAAACAACCTACATCCATCCATTATCTTTTACCGATTTTTCCCATTCAGGGTCGTGGGGGGCCGGAGCCGATCCCAGCTGTGAAAAACTGTACACCAGTCCATCACAGGGCTCACATGTAGAGACAGACAACCAGCTACACTCACATTCACACCTAATGAGCATGTCTCTGGACTGTGGGAGGAAGCCGGAGTACCTGAAGAGAACCCACGCATGCACGGGGGAGAACATGAAAACTCCACACAGAGAGGCTCCTGTCAGACGGGGATTCAAACCAGTAACCTCCTCGCCGTGAGGAGACAGTGCTAACCTCTGTACCACCATGCAGCCCATCCTACAAGCAAACGTTAATCATTATAAATCTTAGACTTTAGACTTACTCATCAATGTCTTTCTCTTTGCCGTCAGTCACTCCTCCTGGGTCATCTCTCAGGTTCCTGAGACGACAGACATATATACAGTAATTGTTGTTAAATGATCATAAATACATTGATTTAAACATAACGAAATACAATGAGAACATTCAGTGCCAAAAGCTCACCTGTGCATGGATCGCAGTTCAGAGACTCCATCAGGGACATCTATGCCTCCACTGCAAGACAAATATAAGAGTTTAGAACTCTGTCAAGGAAGTTTACAGACACAAGCTAAAGATATCACTTCTTCCTCTTACACTTTGGCAGCTGGGTTCCATTGTTGTAGATGTTGTCCAGACTTTGAGTTTGAGGAGTTTGAGGAGTCTCTCCATCAGCTTGAGAATCAATACTATGGAGACAAAATGCTGCTTTTATCAGATTACATTCTTGACTTGTAACTTAAAAAAAAGAAACGTCGATGATTTCGACAAACAGGTTAACAGAAGGTTGGAGTGGTAGCATTGAAGCCAAACCTTTGAACTTGCACGCTCTCAAGCGTGCTATTTCTCCCATTTTGATCAGCTGCACGTTGACCAATCACAGGCTGCATCAACCTATAATGACACAGAGAAAAAAAGACGAGCATGTATTCAATTTCACTGACCTGTGCTCACAGTAGCTTCTGAATGTTTGCTTACTTGAAGACAGCGCGGTGGTTGCCATCCATCTGAGCCCACAGGGTCCTTAATAGAGAAATAATTTTCTATTCAATAAAACAACAGAGCTACTCAGCTATAGAAGAAATATCTGTAAGCGGTTTTTCAATTTAAAATTGCATTTTGTGTTACAACTGATCAACCTGTCCTCCTGTAAAAGGTCAGGAGACGTAATGGCAGAAATGCATTTGAACTAAAACAGTGCCAGCTGAGACTTATGTGACCAGTTAGACTAGCATCTCAGGGCTCGCCCTTCTTGGAAACCCCCTGTGAGAGGTTAACAGAGGAACTGTGTGTTCCTTCCTGAAAACATGACAAACAAACTACCAGCACATTTCTGAAGCCATATATATTACAGGAAGGTAAGAAGGGAAATGGCAGTGAAAAGTTTGAGGAAATATATTTGAACTCACTTTTTTAGGCATGCGTTTTTGCGCCAACACAGCACTGCCAAGAAGAACGCCGCTACCCCAACTGATCCAATAACTAGACAACAGACAATATTAAACATGTTACTATCAGATATTCATTCAAGATTTCTTACAGCAAAAGAGTTATGCCAATAATAAAATATTTTAGCTACTCCTATAACATCATGGTGTTATTTAAAAAGAAAAACTTCCACTTACAGAGGCCTAGTTTTAAATCTTTGGAACACTTGGCGGTATGTTCTCTGATGAATCGTTGGTAACAGGAGTTGGTAGGTTCTCTGTTAAAGGTAAAGAGGGGGTTATTCCACATCTAATGTTTATACATCTAAAAATCAGCAATGTCAAATGAGCATTTAATATTAAATTGTTTAAACACTACATGCCATCAGCAACTTACCATATATTTTATACGACAAGCAGACATCTTCTACATGCCGTCCCTGAAAATAGAATAAAAAGTCTGTACTGTCAGAGATTGGAGTACATGATTCACATTAAACAACAAAACCAAATCAACTTGTTTCTTTTCCAGTTTATAAGAGTATACTGTTTGATTAAAGATGGGGGGACTTACAGAAGGGACTGTGCACTTTATTCGCAGGTCTGTGCAATTCTTGGTGAAGAATGAAGTCTTGTTAAGATTCATCCATGGATGCAAATACTCATAACGTCCAGACATGTATCGAGCAATCTTTGTCTGTCAGGGTAAAAAGAACAGGCTAAATTAGAACAGAGGTTGCTACATTGTTTTCTTATAATACAAAAAAATCTGTGCTACAAGTCTTTTGATAAAAATAAATCATTTCATAATTCAGAATTCTGACTGCTACAGAGCTTAAAGGAAAATCAAAATACCTCGTTTTGGTCCACAAATATTTTATTTGCATCTGAACACTCATGTGAGTAACTAAAACCATCCGCAGACTTTAGCTCTTTGCATGATATGATTTTTTGAGGGCAACCTGTGAGACAACAGAGTTGAATTGTGTATCACAAACCAAGATTTTAAGATAAGAAAGCAAAGATACGCACATTAGGTGGTACATTAGTTGGTGATACTGAAAGTAATAAATAACTCCAAAAAAAGTGAGAAATATGTGTTGTAAACATCCCCAGCTCTTACCTAGGCTTCTTCCAAGACAGGGTGATATCATCAGGGTTAGAAATAAACACATTTTACCCTTCATTTTGTCGAATAAAAAGGAGAGACGGGCGCTCAGTCAAGTCTTCGTTGCATGTAACAAGGAAGTAAGTTGAACAGGAAGTGAACTCTTAGCTATAGCTATATGGATATAGTAATTGCCATGCCACAGGCTGCCTTGAGACACTAGGGGAGGCTATCATCCTACACATCAGACACACATCCAACAGGCTGCCATGAGACACAGAACTCCACAGGGTTTACTTTTTCATACTTATTGACATGAAAATAGAGGAATGGCAGTATCAACATGTTGCGGCTCCAGCATTTTCTCTTTAACAGACAAACAAACAGATGTGTCATTAGACAAACACATCCTGAAGCCCAGCATGGATTCTGTGTCGTTGTGGCAGGATTCCTCTTCCCCTCAGGTGGAAGAATTTGTTTTCATCCTGTTCGAGGATGGCAGTGAACCCGCCATATTCTAACCATGAGAGAGCAGAGGGACAACAGAGGCCTCTGAGTATACTCAAAGAGGCCTCTGTCATTTCCCTTTCACACACACACACACACACACACACACACAGACACACACACACACACACACAGACACACACACACACACACACACACACACACACACACACAGACACAGAGAGCATGGATAAAGCAGAAGCCGCCCTGGTGCAGCACGCTTCATTTACACTGCATCTTCTCTGGTCCATCGAGAAAACACAGAGCAGAGTCTGTGTCACTCAATACGGGCCCCTCTCTATCTCTTCAAGTCTGTGCGCTTCCCGTCCTGCATCTCTCAGTCCCTCACTGGCTGTCCTTTGCCCTCCACTCTCTCTCTCTCTCTCTCTCTCTCTCTACATGGTAAGAGTCCACCAGCTGGGTCGAGCAAAAAAAAAGACAACAGTGCCTCCAAAACATACTCTCACATTTCCCTCTTAACATAATTATCTCATTGGCTCAGATGTGGGGTTAGATAAAGTGACACAGAGGCAAAGAAGATTTACTTATTAGCCAATTTGGGTGAGCTAACCACTTAAACGTTGCATCATTCTTGATTGCTTCATTGCTCCTTGACAAGAGCCTTCTGGGGTATGGATGAGAGCATCGCAACAGGCAGTAAATGCACTCCGCTCAGGTCCCCTGGTGACAGAGCTGGGTGGAAGTGGACTTGTCCAATCATCTGATCCATTCTCCATAGATATCAAGTGACAGTGGGTGGCTGAGATTTCCTAACATCCCTCTTCATTTCCACAGAGCCCCTGCATAAACAGAGGGGAGCAGCGATGACGCAGGACTGGATGAAAACACACACGCATGTACGCACACACACACACAAAGATATGAACACTGTCCCAGGGAACACACTGCGTCCACTGCTCCAGAGCAAAAGAAGGAGTAAATTCCAAAGAATCTAAACAGAACTTTTAGGGTAAATAATTACAATTTGATATCTTTTCCGTCTGTTTCATCCCCTCCATTCTAGGTCTTTTCATTAGAGAGGCAATAAAAGATAAACAGCTCTCTTCCATTTCACTAACACCCTCCCCAATTCCTTTTTCTTTATCCACGGTGAGGGAAGTTTAAAGGTAGAAAGTATAAACTCTGGTTCAAAGAAGATTGTTTTTCATAACCAAAGTGAGCAAAACAAACCCCATTCAGTTTGTACAGTTCACTTTTATAAACCCAAGTTTCAAACAAAACCTGGGTGCACCATTCAGGGCGTGTGAGTTGTAGAGTCGAAGCAACACCCCGAGAATCCTGAGTAGCTCCAAAAGAATAGTGCTGGCTCTTCACTAGCCTGCTTGGCTTGAGTTTGCTTTGCTCCACATCGGTTTCAAAATACACCCTGAAGAAAGCCGACCTTAACATAAACAGCTTATACAGAGCAGGAGTGACTCCTATTAAGAAAACAGTGTCATGTTCACACTCTGACTGTTAGTATCATAGATTTGTAGACACATATTTTTCCACTCATCACAGGTGTTTTCCTCGCATTTTCCCTGAATCCAAACCTTAGACGTGATTGAACCATGTATTTGAGAAGCATAGAATCACTGGGGAACTTTCAAGTATAATGGTAACCGGCATAATCCTGCATTCTGAAACTGAGTGCAAGTGAGTTTTTTTTGGAATTGCAAACGGGACATTTACACACACTTTTGTACGCCTCGTCTGCACTGCATTAGAGGAGAATGCAGAATCTGCAGATTACAGGAATCGTTCTGGTTTCAGTTTGTAGTCTAGAGAGTATAAGTGAGCAAAAGAAGCAGACTGCATTAGACGTAATACAAATATAAATCCCATCAGCTGCCGTCTGAAGACAAGTGTCAAACTTATGCATGCAAGTGATGCTAACAATCCACTTTTGGACATCGCACCTCAAGTCAAACTACATTCTCTCTTCTCAAGTTGCTTGCCAGACCTGTAAACAAAGACAGGACACAGAAGGGAAGTCGCTGACCGTTTGTTACATTGAAGCCCCCAAAAAGTTGGCTGTAGCTCCAAGAGGTGTCCGGTGTTCGCCTATGGTTCCCAGAGTGCCAACACACTTACAGACCTACTCACACACACAGAAATACATTTACATTAATCACGTTCTGTCGGACATAAATATGGAATCACACTTTGTTATAACATTGATACACTTACGAACAAAACCTGAACTTATAACAGTGAACCATCAAGTCTGAGTGTGTTCTTGAGTGTTAGAAGTGCAGGTGCAGGGGAATATATGAATCAATAAAGCCATTGGGCCCCACACAATATCATGTGCACCCCCACCCCATCTTCTCCTCCCACTCACATATTAAAGCCCCTTCCATAGCGGCCAACTCTCCCCCTCATTGAAAAACGACAGCTCCCTCCTGCATAGCTTACTTAGCCTGGGCACGGCAACCTGATCCTGCTGAGAAAGTCTTATAAAAAGAAGCAAATAAATCAAGCCAATCAGAAACACCTCTCCTCCACTGAGCCAAACATAAAAGATCTGAGTGTTTTTTTTTTTTCTTCTATCAGACCAACCCTTGCCTAAGGGCCCGATGGTGTTTGAATATCAAGGCTCAGTAATGCCTAATTATTAGTCTATATTATACAAGCAGCCATGTCAATGCAGTGTACAGTACGATGCACAGCAGCTAAACATTCACATGGTGCTGAGGCACATGTTGTGCAATAAGTAGAGAGAAACTTGGACAGGCTCTATTAATCTGTTTTCCAGCTAAATCTCCTGAGAGGGATCTCTGACAGAAAACAAACCTCTCTGTTTGAAGCACGGCCTCCAGTTAAACTTGTTCAACTTCTGCCTGCCTCTACTTTTCATTCTCCTCCTCACTCTGTTTCTCTCCCACTTTTCTCTCCCCCTCCACTTTTCTCTCTCTTGTCATCTCATTCTGCCTCTCTCTCTCTCTGCTCTCCTTCACCATTGTTTTCCCCCCTGCTCCTTTGCTTTACTCTCTTCGTTTCTCTCTCCCCCCTCTTGATTTGTTGCTGGCCTAAGTCTCAGTATTTGGCTGGGCGAACCCAGGGTGAGCGTGTCTTATTACAGCAGTCCAGGGCCCTCTGATAAAGCCCTGCATTGTGAAGGATAATCCCTCAGAAACAATCACATTTTTATACTGTGCCCTCTGTTGTTTCTATAGCCTCACACTTGAATATACAAAGTATGAACGCAACTCACGCACGCAACCTTTTGTTTTGACACACAAACAAGTACATGTGCAAGCACTGGCTTGCAGTGCACACTAAGTGGACTCGTGTGAAAGTATGCAAGAAATTCACATCAAATTACCAATTCGGTTCATTTTGTTCCCACTTTTCTCTCTGTGCAAACTGCTTCCTGTCACCCACTGTGGAATCCAGGAATGTCTCACCTAAAGCTATGAGTGACATGAATGCAGTTTTTAGGGGACAGGGATTTGTAAATGGGTAGTTTCTGCAGCGCTGTAAAATGTCAGTTAAGTCAGTGTGTCTATCACTGTCATGTTTTGTTAAGGCAGCCCTTCTGTAGCCGTTCACACTCGGCTGAGCTCTATTGTTAAATAAACAAAGGCTCGTGTTTGGTTGTGCTGCGGATCAGTGAGTGGATCAGGCGCTCACCTGAAAAATTGGTGAGTGTACAGCGGAGCAGCACAGAAAGTAATTTACACTTTTACACACTTAAAGTCCTTATTAAAAAAACGACTCATAGAACGCATCTACACAGCAGACCTTTACACATGTACTAGCGTGAAAAAAAAACCACAATAAAAATGGCTGATTGCCATTTAGCTGTTCCAGTTCTCTGGCTCTGGTACCATGCACTGGGAGACTCATATTGAATTGAGCCGTCACGGTAGAACACATTCATTGTTTTGATTTAAAAGACAAACCTACTGACTCGTGACTTCTTTTCGGTATGCTAACTGTAGCTGAGCACAGCTGTTCAGTGTCTAGACAGGTAGGTACCTGTGTGGTTCCAGGTCGTCTCTCTGTCACTGCCATCATTCCTCATCTTCCAACAGGAACATCATCTTCCATCGCTGGATTTTTCTCTACTATCATCTGTCACCACGACCGAGGGGAAGGAGAAACCTAATTACAGGACGGTGGCAACCATAACCCCCCCCCTAAAAGTTTACACTTCTAATGATGGTAGCCTGCAGCTGTGAACGTCAGACCGACATTACACCAACTGACTGTAAACAATGTGTTGTAAAGGTTGTCACAGTCCACCTGTTGCCCAATAGCACAAGGGAGTTTTATTTGAAGGAGCGCTAAAACAAAAGAAGAAGGAGAGAAAACATGGGCATCAGTTATTTGAGATGATACCTGGTACTTACAGTATTAAACTTACTGTCTTCAAACTACCAATTATCTAAGCTTTCCCAGGCAAGTTATGTTAGCAGATCAGCATTACACACACAAATTACTCACTAGTTCCCCTCATTCATAACAAGGCATTACAGGAATATTGTCAGGTGTCTGCAGTGTGCATGGTCGTTAAACTATTGGTTCAAAGCTATCATCACACCTACATCCACATAAGTGCAGATTAAAGTATTTTTACACACATAAATACACAGTCAGGGAAGAGGCATAGAGAGAGGCCTGTGTTGTATTTAACAGTTTCCTGGCC